TCTGTTTCGTCTCTTTACTTCGTTTGGGGTCATACCGAAGTTAACTTATGCTGTAGACGAAAAAATACTATTGGCCGTTTGATACGCGTGGACACTTCAACTTCGATCTGACACCGCGTGTCGGCAATCGACCCAGCCGAAGCAAAAACCACATAACGAGGGTCAACGACCATAAGATTATTGTTAACATAATGATATATTGTTCCGTCACATTCTCTGAAATAAAAACCGTTGCATGCATTTTCAAGCTATTTTCTCTGTCTCCGATATAATAGTGATCAAGCGTTAAAATTGTTTTCTGAACGCAGTATCGTTGCATCATTGAACAAAGGTTTTTTTTTGCCTTTATCAATATTGAACTACATAAACGGTACGTTATAATACATTTCAATATGACTTTGATGTAAATGTTGAGTAGATTTTAATTTTACATTATAGGCCGGAGGGTGGTTTAGTCACACTGATTTGCAGTTTCGCCTTTGATTCCTTAACTTTTCAGCGGGCGCGCCATTATTTGAAACAAGAGTAGTCGCGCGTTGTACATTTTACAACAGTCCTAATATGTTGAGATAATCGTACATATTATATCTAATATAAAAAAAAATAAAAATGTATATATTACATAGTGATATAAAACAATATTAAAAAATTTTTGTTTTTATTACCACCACAAAAATAAAAATTACTAAATAATAACTCAGGTACACTGAACGACGCGTTTTGTGTTTTACGTGGGTATACGGAATGGCGCGTGTTGTGTTTTGCGACAATACTATCAATACTTCATCGATTCTCTGCAATAAAGTGAACTGAAACACTCAAAAATAGTCTAAAACGTAGAAAATAACATTTCGGAGGAATACCCATGACCACCGACAAGATAAAAATAGAATATAAGTTGAATAAGCAAATAGATATAAAATTGTTGCATTATTTACAACAGCGCGCCCGCTGGAAGGTTAAGACACGCTATATCTACATTTAATCGTGTCTGGCTTTTAGATCCAAATCGACAAATAGTGTGTCAAATAGTTGTCGTTCCCGATCACCGCGAATTGCTTTCAACAACAATAAAATTAACATAGTTATGATGAAAATGATTGTTGAAGTGTTTGATTTACGAACACGGCTAATCACTAGGTACACGATCGCTCCTAATCTACTCGAATACATTTTTCGAATGATTATTTTTCCCATTTTATTGATTGAAAATTACATTTTTCTGATTTAAAACAATTTGTTAAGCAGCGAATGGGCTTAGATGATGCGGAGTCCTTTGTATATTTCATACACCTCTTTACCCGGCACTGATCCCTCGTATAATATTTTAGTATAATAATAAACTATACGTCGTACGTTGGAAAGAAAAATTACAAGTTAGCAAAATCGTAAGATAGGCAACTAACTAATCATTCGCATTGATGTGCGTTTCAGGCGTGGAGAAAGTTTAGTTGCCTATCGTCCGAGAAACTAAAACGGTAAATTTCAGTTCTAAATCAGGCCGTTAGCGGATGTAATTTTTTTACCAAAACTGGATGTTGTTTTTAATTTTTTCCAAATTGAAAGATGACTAATGGCTAGTTATTTTTTGTTCAAAAATCATTTAAAGTAATAGTAGTAATAAAAGGGGGTTTCTGACTCCATTTTTTACAATTTTAAAATATATCAAGGAGGTTTCTGAATTATACTGAGATATACTATATTGTAATACTAAATAATTTTAATAATTTATTAAAATAACTTGCACAATTAATTTAAGACTTTATAATGAAAATATTAATTTGGTATGAGATATTAAAAATGTATACAAAAACGGACAAATTATTGAATCACTGGTACATAACGAACTAACACTTATATAATAAAAAATGACTGTAAAAAATGTATAAATAAAACAATATTACAATATAGTATATCTCAGCCCCATGATATATTTTAAAATTGTAAAAAGTGGAATTAGTAGCCCTCTTTAATTACTACTAATAATTAATTTAAATCAACAATCAGTTGGTCTCGTTTTAAACCTTTTGACGGGCACGATACTAATAGAGTAGTGTAAAATCAATAAGCTTACAAATAATATAGCGCTTGCATAGCCATTGTTTTTCTTTTCTCACGAACAATTATTTTTATTATAACACTGATCAAATACTTACTAACATAATAGTTGTTGGGCGATCCTGATGAATTTATTAGAATCAAAAAACTCGTTTCAAAATGTAACTCTAGTTAATAATCTGCGTAGGTATATATTAAACTGAAAAAATGTGCATACAATCATATAATTTTCAACTAGAATACGTTATTATCTGACTTTCGTGAATTTGTACTGTCAGTTGTACATGTCTACATGTAGTATTTCTAATCTAACCGAAATGAGATTACAATGTTTCCTATCAGTTGGGGGAGGGGAATTTGTCTTATAAAGGGCTAGAATTTAATAGTTTCGGATATGAAAATGTAATATTACAAATAATAGTGGTTCCATTTTTTCTGCGATCGCGTGATGAGAAAAATATAACTTCAGTCATCGTTCATTAGCCATTAAGCGTAATATCACTACATACGTAGTTTATTCGTTCTGTATATAATGTAGCAGATAAAATATAAAATTATCTTATTTTTTAAATTTAATGCATTTGTAATTGGTAATTGGCTCGACGTGCATAATGCATCATATAGTTTTGTACATACTATATATAACGCAGTATAACAAACATTATTTGTCCATTGGTTTAGTCCTAATTTTATGGATTCATATATTTTCCGTGCGTTTAAACAACAATTGTTACTCGTTTAAGATATATAATATTTATCCATCGTAACAATCTATATCGATGCGTTTCAAATTGTATAGAGATATAGAATGTAATAAATAGTCTCTGTTTGCCAGAGTGTATACAGATGTATATTTACATTCTATACAACGTGTGCGCGCGATGAAAAAACTTGAACGTGGACGTGCTCATATTGATCCGGGGGATGCTTCACGCTGACTTACCACCGGAGTATGTGCAGTGCGTTAGATTGAGATTCGATGTTTCAGCTGAAAAGTTGTAAGTGTATACAACCTACGGCTATGCGATGTATTATACGGTCGTCATGCTGTGGTAGTAATAGATGATTCTAAAAGGTTTTTTTTTTTTTTAAATGGGTTTTTTTTATGCTTTCATAAAATAACTGAGTATATATATACTTCGAGTTTTTAGTCGTTGTAATACGCTTGTCAATATGCTAGTTCATCGAAGTCGATTTCATATAATGGGTTATTCAAGATTCTTGGAACTTACGATGGGTATACCGAACTTTGAAAACACAAAAACGCATGTATCGAGAACCACGAGTAATAAATACCGAGCCAAACACTGCATGGACTTATGTTAGGAGAACACAAGTATTAAATCGCTTTTAACTTGGCTTTTACCTTGAAAAAATGTCCAAGTCTCGAAAAACTTTAAGTTATTGGTAATTATTATTTATTTATTTATTTTTGCGTATCTCTTTTTTTTTTTTTTTTTTTTAACTCGGGGCCACCTGTTATATTATTTGAAACATGTTTCAACTTTCATGTCACCATATTAATATAGTATTGTTTCGTTTATGGTGTAGATATAGGACGAACTTCAGACATCAAAATGCAATGTAAACGACACAACGCGAAAAACGTAGTTTGTTTATTACTTTGGTCTAATAGCCAAAAATATATCGTTCGTACTTAAATTAATCGTTTTTAGCCCATAATGTCCAATGTTTAACGTTACGGTTTTATTGCCGAATTTAGTCGAGTTAATACGGTAATAAAATTCGTTAGAGACGATGGGAAAAAACTCGAACCGTCGCGCTGTATAGTACCTCCGTGAACGATTTTTTTTCAAAACAAACGTCATGTGTATATACATATATTAATATACACCACGAACATTTAATCACGAATCAGGGATAGGATATATGCGTAATCGACCATTACGGTACTTTCGAGAGAAAAAACACCTATAAAGTGACGCAGTGATTACAAAGGCACACTTCGGGTGCGTATATATTTGGAGCAAGTGGAGTGAATCCGACTCGACTTGTAGGGTTTTAGAGAAAACGCTGACCAAGCTTTCTTCCGCAGCAAACAAATCGTATTGTAAAAAACATTTTTTTGAAAAACGATATTTTTTTTTTTTGTTAAAAAATGATCTCGCACGGCCCTACGTATATATATATATATTTATATTTATACATTTTGATGAAATTTGACTATCCGCAGAGCGGTTTACGTCACTGACTAAGACATTTGTCGTTTTCAAATCGATTCACGTAAGCTGGATTTATGCAAACTAGTTAGCTGAAACTAGTTACTAGTGCCGTAGTCAAATACTTGATCTTGTGAGGCTTTAAACTTTTTCGGTTTAAGTATAGTGTTATTATTATTGGATAATTAATTGGCAAAATATTAATAAAACATTTAAATGCACTTTATAGACTGGGTTATATATTAGAAAATTGAATTTTTCATCTTACTCGAAAAAAAAAAGATCCGACGTTTGGGCGGTCGGTGCACGTGTTTCCTCGTACAGCCTCCTCGAAGCTACGGTCACGGTCATCACGATTTATTTTATATAATTTTAATGGAAAAAAAAAAAAAAAAGTTCAAAACACGGAATATTAAAATATACGGAAAGCCGGTCATATCTGCGCCGACGGCCACCGTCACGCCGTTCGCCACAGTGTGTTCGCGTTCCGGACACGTTTCCGCTCACCGCTCATAAAATACACACCGGCGAAACGACTATTAGTCGGTGCCTTATTACGCACTCGCAGATGCATTAGATTATAAGTGTACGTATATTTTAATAACATATAATAAGTATTGGACACCGGATGAGGTGGCGCAGCGAATCTCTCTCCGTATTTCTCTCTGAAAGCGAAAACGCGTTGTTGTTTAGTGATCTGATCGTCAACGGTGGCGGACGGACGGTCCGAAACTAATAAAATACGCCCGCGGTTTTCCTAACGCCACCGCTGTGGACGGTCGTCGGACTACGTGGTTCGTCGAAAGGTGCAGCGGCCGCGGCGGAGTTGCCAAATAACTCCTTCGTAGCCGCGAACGCTTTCGACTCCGTTCTGGTGCTAAAGGCAACAACGCACCGATCGTTTCCAGTGCTGCTGCGTGGGCTTTTGTCGTTCGCCGCAACGATGCGCCCGCCATCGGCGTCCGCACGGCCTTTGGTTTTCGGGCCGCTGCAGGATCGATTGGCTCTCGATCCCGCGCCCGCCGTTTCCGGCGTTAAAACCGTACGCCCGCCGTCCAGTCCTTCCGGTAGCACATCCTGTCGTGCGCAGTCAGCCCGATGGACGTCCGGTCCGTCCGGGACCACGTCGTTGGGTCTGTCGTCGCGGGAAGCATTATCCGTACCGACGTCCGCCACCGGACCGACAAGACCGCCAAGGCCCGCGCGTGCAGCTGACTCTGACCGTCCGTTACGTTGCGGACCCGTCAACGACCGAGGCACAACCGGTACCCTCGCGGTCAGGTCAACGCCGCCGCAGTCGGGGTCGCCGATCAACGACAACGACATCCGAGAACCCGCCGTGGAATGCATCACGTTAACTCCTCCGACTGTTACGGCCGTACTGCTGTTACTTGTTCTACCGCTTCCACCTTTATCACTGCTGCTGCTGCTGACCCGAGTACGTGTACGACCGGCCGGACGACCACTTGGGCTTTGACCGTTCGGACGGATTCTTGGACCGTTCGGACGTGACGTGATCGCGCGATTCGTTTTCAGCGACTTCCTCGTTTTCAGCAACGGCGAACCACGGGGACTATCCCTCGAGCCGTTCACCGCTCCTTCGTGGTCGGCATTCGCACGTGTCGGACACGGTGATAGGGCTGCATGGTAAGGTCGGAAGAACTCGTTCAAAACCGTCATGTCCGCGTTCGTCAAGTCCATGCCGGACGTCAACACTTCCCTTGGAACGCCGAAAAACAAATCCAATCTGTTCCGGAAAACTCGTTCCAAACTGCCGTTGCACCGAGGCTCTTTAAACTCGACGTTCTTACGCACTAAATCGTTCACTTCGAGTATTTCCTTTTCTATTGTTCGTAAAAGTATGCCGACAATCGATTCTCGGCGCTCGTCCATTCCGAGAGTTCCGTACGTTTTAACGGTAAAACATATTAAAAGAATTACAGGTCTTACTATGTTCATTGTTTTGAGGTATAACGCACACATTAAACCTGCTATTCATCTACTGTTAAAACTGCAGCAAAATAAAATAAAGAGTAAAAAAAAAATATTGATTTTTGTTAATTATTAACGTTATTTATTAACTATTAGGTATGTTATATAGGTCGATAAAATAACTTAAGTAATTTCGAAATTAATATATGGCTGCGTACTCATAGTTTTTGAGTAAAACGAGTGACTATGTACCTCATGTGTAGCAAAAGTTTTGTCTTTGTATTTCAACTTCCTGGTTGTAAATTATCCATCAATAGTTCCGCGTACCTTTAAATAGGTAGTTGGACACAGAACTAACTGGGTTCCCTTAATATCTAAGGCTAAAAATGCAGTACATTTGGCCTAAGCTACTACATTAATTTTTAAAGTTTGAATTTCTCAGAAAAACTGATTATAGTCCTCAATACTAGGGATTGCTATTTAATATTAAACAGGCTTTCTTTCAAAATCGATTTTTGAATGTGACGATTTATTGCGTCGTTTAATAAATTTTTTTTAATATATTTCACCGTAAACTCTTTTATCTAAAAGTATAGTAATTTGTTCTATACCAACCTACTATGAAGCTTACATCACAACATAAATTATAAGACTGTTAAATGTTATGGAAAAATTTAAATTGCGTTAAGAAAACGTAAATAATAAAAATAAATAAATTAATAAAAGTAAATAATGTTATATGTATATGTGTACCTGTGTTCTCTTTATTTTTTCCATTAATTATATTTATCAGTTCGTCTGGAAAATATTGTAGGTACAATGAGCTAACAAAAAAATAAATGAGTAACAAAAAAAAAAAAAAATTAATAGTAATAAATGAAATATTAATTTGGCTTGAACGAATTGAAGTTGGAACTTATTGCAAATTATAATTACTTGTACTACATATATAACAATATATACGTATAATTTTGATAAAATTTACAACGCAACGCGTAGCAACATAACAATTTTAGGAGTTACACGAAGACGTTATAAAATTAAAGGATAACGAAATATTTAAAAGTATAATATTCAATATAATAAGTAATAATAACTATTAAGTGTGTAAATATTTGTTGAATACAACGATAAATCTTCCTAGAGTACATTTGGAAATCAATAAGCTGTTAAAATTGATTTCAACATTTTGAAGAATATTTTGTTTAATTATAGTTCTTGGAGAGAGTTTTCGATTTCTTAGATATTTCAAAGAATTTTGGAGAAAAAATAGCACTTCTTATAATAAATTTCAATCATATTTTATTATCTATTCGATTGTAAATACCTATGATGCATGAGCAAAATACATACATAATAGGTACATCATAGAAACAATACATTATTATTAGGTAACGCATATTGTTTTGCGGTCAAATTTTCGTGATAAGTCGTAAGGTTATTGAGAAATATAATAATTTTATACTTGAACATAAATATACACAGATAAGTTAGAATTTCTTAACTCACATTACACATTGCAATATAATGCTCTCTCCTGTTGTGTTTATGTGTATTCAATATTTCGTACATTTAAACGTGTTTCAGTTTACGGTTTTAATTTGGTAAATAAATAAATATTATAAAAGTTTTAATTTCTTTAATACCCATTCAACCAGTTTCCTCGTGATATGAAATATTTCGAGCCAAAACAGTATTTTTTTCAACGTTATAAATTTAATTTACGATTCTTTAAATTGAAAAGTAAAACCATCGCGCATTGCACACACCAATTAACCATCTCCGTGCATTATTTTATTTCTGCTATTCACGTAGCTATTTAATAAAAAACTTTTTGTTATTATTTAATATTGAAAATCTATGTAACATAATATTTTAACATATCGGGACGAATTTCGCCGCCCGTGATTTTAATAATATTTGCAGCAACATCCATCGCAGTTTGCTGGCAGACGTACGTATGCTTCGCACGTGTACGTTTTAAGGTTCTATAAAAAAACGCATCTACGCATCTCTGTTTACTTTTGAACTCTTATCTAATAATTCGCTTAGTTTGTGTTAGAATGTTTATGTGTATAAATATATGTGTATGTACATTAATTCAATCGGAACACAAACATAAACCTTTATCGCGCTATACCTTACTCGGTGATTCTAAATAATTTCCGATGGATAAAGTTGGCTATGCGCGCAAGGAGTTATCTGAAAGTGTATTTACTACAGTGCATTATAATATATAGTTTGGTGCTCTGAATAATATTTTTAACTCTCGAAACTTGTTTTAAACGTGTAAAACTTTCAGTACCTCCTTGGTCCACATCAATAAACACGCGCGCGCGCATAAGCAATATACATGGGTATAATATAGGTATATCAGGGTGGTTCCTACTTATGAAAAAAAACAGTTTTTTAATTTTCTTAAGTCAGGATTCCCCCTCCATTCTATTTGATACTGTATAAAGATAATTTAAGTAGGATTTGATGATAATGACTCACTCCCTTTTTCGTTCCTCAAGATGGTTGAAAAATTACAGAAGTGCATTTCTGGTTTTTTCAGTTTTACTTTTATATAATGTTTATCATATCTAAATCTTATATATTTATATAAAATTTCTTCAAAAAATGTTGTTTGTAGTAATATATCGTAATTAATAGTTAATTTTCTAATCTCGAAACAAATTATAATATCACCGAATTGATTTTTTTTTTTTTCATTTATACGATTAATATTTAATATTATGTATAGTCTGATTATAGAACAGGTGCATTTATTAATATCTGCAGCAGAAAGTTTTCAGGTTCATTATTTGGAATTTACTAAAAAAGGTCTAAATGAAATAAATAAACTATTATATGAGCACATGAACATTTTCGCAGTCATCTGAAGATATTAAATCTGCATTATTTGATCTCCAATGGAATGATGTAGTTGTACACTGGGATTTTAAATTATTGAAAGAAGTAAAGAAAATATAAATCGATATCCTGTAATTGTTTATACTTCTAATGTAGAAAAACTCTTAGGAGTTCCTGCTTTATAACAAGTACTGAAAAACAAGTATCTTCTTTAGAGTTCGATTTATTACGAGATTGGGACTTAGCAGATAAAGTTCAAGCGTTTGTATTTGACACCACAGCGTCCAACAGTGGTTAGTGTGCTTTTAGAACAATAATTAAACGTGATATTATATTTTTTGGGTGTCGTCATCATATATTTTAATTGGTTTCGCAAGCATTTTTGAAAAATAACTAGAAAAATACAGATTTAAGTAGATTTGGAATACGAGTATATTGTAATTTTCATAATTTTCATAATGATGCTTGAAATGAAAATGAAATGTCTTCATTCTGTATACAAAGATTAAACAATGATTTTCCCAGCGATGACTACAGAGAAATTCTCGAACGGGTTTTAATATTTCTGGGAGGTTCACTCTCCTGTGGGGTTAAATTTCGACAACCAGATGCCTATAATTTGGTATGATGGATAACAAAAGCTATATATTGTCTTAAAATTTTATTAATTAATAATAAATTTAAAATTACTATAAGATAATAAATGCATTCAAAGAATTATTTTGATTCATAGTTAAAAGATAGATTCAAGTGTGGATCAAAACTCCAAATTTACTAATAACTCTATGAATGATTTAATACTTTTTGAAAAAATATATGTGTTACAATAATGGATAAAATAAATTAATCAACAATTTGTGGTATTTGAATGAGAAATTTGCTGTGCTTTCTATATTTGACGACTGTGTTAATAATGTAACAAAATATCGTATAGCAAAAAAAAAAAAATGTAGTAGGAAAGAAACAAAACTGTAACAATAAAAATAACAAAAACGCAAATGAAAAATCGAAAAAAATTGAATTTAAACTGATTAAAACATTCTTTAAAAAAATATTTTTATTTTGATTTTCTGACAAATAAATAATAGAAAGTATTTGAACGGTTTCAAAGTTCTGATTAATTATTACGTGAAGGCTCAAATTCATGGTACTCGTATAGATGAATTTAAAAATCGTTGACGATGCAATAGAAAGAGGTGTCAAGTTGATGGAGGAATATAATCAAAAATTTAGCAAAATTGAAAACTAGAAATAATATACGTCATTAGTAAATATATTCTACATAGATTAAACTAATTATTGAATTATAAATATCTAACAATTTGTGAAATTCACTGGTTGTACAAGAATATTGTAAAACATACTCTAGATGTAGCTGTGAAATCGAAAAAAAAATATGAATATTAATTTTACTGACTTATTTTGTATTGTTTTGTAATTGCACGAGTTCTTTCTTTTTTATAATTTCGAAGAAAACAAGTTATAGATATTTCATTGAGATACGTTTCATTACAACCAACAACATTTTTTGGAGATATATATGCTAAATATTATATGAATTCGATTGTAACAATAAAACTATCAATCTAATGATATTTTTACTCATGACCTTATCCATAGACAATTAAATTTAAAATAATTTATAGATAATATTATTCTCTTTAATAAAGTTCGAGTACATTTTCATTCTATGTATTATAGTTTTAGAGTTTAATTCAAAAAACCAGAAATGCACTCTCTTCAGTACCTAATTGTTCAATCATCTTGAGTCACAGGAAGGGAGTGAATCATCATCAACAAATTCTAAATAAATCACTTTTAATAGTATCAAATGCACAGTGTACTCATAATTTAATCGCCATTCAGTGTGAATTTATATTGCTCAGTCATGTGTTAGGTGATGTAGGCGTCCGATTTTCGTTCGGTTAGTATTACAATACCGATAGTGAATTATAATAATACACATACGCGCGTATATCCTGCAACGATGCTGGTACAATCGTGCACACGTCATCGCAGCGCTATAATTACTGTTGGTATCACTTGTCGGTTAACGTGGCTTCAAAAGTATTAACAGTATAATATGCAACGTAGAAATTCGTCCGATTAATCATATCGTGTGCAGTCGATCGTGAATCGTCGCCATTAATATCCCTTAAGGAACGCACACGGATAATATATGAACGGCTTACCTGTTTCGGTGCACCGCGTACGTTTCACGGTGAGTGTGCACGAACGCGACGATGATGATTTCCTCGGGATACTGCGCGGTTTATTAGGCCACTGGAAACCAGTTTCACCATGGATCCATGTTGATATCAGAAATTCATTTTTAAACAACTACGTTTCCGTTGTTGTTCATCCCACGTATATTACACATACACAATGCTATCACGAAGTTCCAGAGTCTGTAAAACGTTTTCGTTTCGTTCAAATTAATTACACCGATATTTTATATTATTTACAAACACTATACAGAAGTGTGTCGTATGTGTGTGTGGATTGTACATAGTATTTTTTGTGCGATATACGTTTTTGTTGTTATTAATTTCAGCCTTTCGACGTTAAAATTGGTACTAAAGGTATATCGAAATGAAATGCGCGTACAGCTTAAAAAAGAAAATTCATATTTAAAATTTTTTTGTAAGCGCAATGGTTGCGGTCGGGGGAAAAAAATACAAAACGAATACGTCTTAATAATATTGTAGTGTGTGTTATTCGGAAGGGACGGCTCGTTCAAAGTGGTTAGACGGGACCATATTTTAGAAAATAATTGCGGATGGGAACAAAAAATAAATGATGTGTAAACAACGTTGCTGCGTAAAATTACACTTGATCAAATGCGTTTTTCAGAGTTCTGTGGACTTCGGACGGATATAAACTTTATTACGGAAAGTTTAATCTGCTAAAGAAGTATAGTTACTCTTATTTTGTAATCTATGACTATCTTTGCCGATCTAAACAACTCATAGGTACAGTATATAATACAAAGTTAGCCAACCCTCGTGTACCTAAAATTAATTGTAATTACTATCATTTGATTCTTAATCAACCTCGAAATGTTGTCACGGAATATTTCACTGCAGAATTTGATTAAGGCAAATTTATATATACGTACACGTCATTATGATTTAAGCCCCTCATGGATACGGCTGCAGAGAATATACGTGCGAACACACCCGACGACAAAACTATTTACGCGTATACTAAATGAAATATCTTTTTCCTTAATTGATTTTGAACGAAGTAGCGTATAGCGTATAGCAGCCCATCTCACGCAGGTTACGGATATCCTTCTCTTTCTCATCTACCTCCTTCTCCTCCTCCTCCTAGCATGCGAATAACTCGTCGGTCCTTTTATTGGACATTACCGCACGGACGAACAATGTTCTTGAAAGTTAGCTTTTAACGTTTCATGTGCGATCGATTTTTCAGTTGGACAATACGTTTTGATGTTGTTTGTTATGTTATATATATATATATATATATATATATATATATATATATACAGGGCTTATATACTTATATATATATATAACATAGGGCTGCACTGTTAAATTTATGAACACACAAGTATCATATCATTCATTGGTATATGATTTACGCCTATAATATAACATCGAAAAACCGACCACGTAATAGTCATATATTAATATATAGCCGTGCCTAGGTGGCTAACAAATACGGTAAATTTTTATAAAATCCATTAGACGGCGTAATGTTGCGGCGCGTCTCGCCTGTATTAGGGTCGAAGATACATTACGGCCATAAATACAATTTGTGCGCCCCATGCACATCAACGGCAACGGATACACGCGTTGATAAAACTATTATACAAATATTTCAATTAATATTATAACATAAGTGTTTGGATGAGAACGCGCATGCAAATTATGTGCAATGATTTTTTTTTACCGTTTTCGCAGAATGTTATTGTGTACACGCGGTCTGCGGTGTTACAGTCTTTGATGATTAAAAATAAGTTTTATAACATTTTATTGTTTAGCTAATTTTTTTTTTCGGTCATGTTATCAAATGCATGAAAATAATATAATATGGGTATGCACAGAATGAAATATGTAGCTTTCACAAAATTCCTTTTAATGTATACTCGGTTCTTACTTATAGTAAATCGTTTTATCGATCAAATACCCACGTAATTATAATAATATGTAAAATAACGCAGCTAGTGGAATTTGGACTTATAGCCTTAATATAGGTTGACTGTTATTATTATCCTAATTATTATTGGCACTCTTAATTCGTAATTAATGACGTTCTCGTGAATTTTCGTCTCAGAACACTGTGGAGAATCACCAATCAATATAATAACTGTGTAGTGTTCAATGTTCATGTATTATAATGTTAGTGTGTAGAATGGAATGTTATTTTTCTAAAATGTTGATTAATTATCAAGCATTATGATTATGAGAACGACGAGTAGAACGTAGTTGTTTTCTGATACAATCATCATATTTTAAGTTCAACTATAACTTAGCATCTTGACTCTATACTTATACCAATAAGCCAAGCCTGTCTGATTTTTGCGTTTCTTAAATATCCATTCCAAGATTATGTGTTTGAAATTACTTTTCACAAGCCGAAATGTCTCGTATAGTAGTGTTCAGTCATAGTTAATACTGTAGTCACAATAGAAATGTGTGCGGAGTGTATGTTATATTGTTTTAGAACAAATGAACTGGGCGCTCTTTAGAAAACCAATCTGTTGTATACATAAAAATACAAATATACAACAATAATCTTAAAAGTTATTTTTCTCAATTAGTTTAATACAAAATATTATGTTTATTATAACGTTGTGTGTGCATATGAGTATATGGATTTGGAAGTGTTGTTTTCTGTTACTATAATAATTTCTATTGTAAGTTTGTAACTCAAATAATACTTCTATACATATTATTTTATACAATGTTATAATATACTGTAAAAACACTTAAAGATTAAATAATCGGTTTGGTAATTTACTTTTAGATCATATGGCATGTGGGACTAGTGGGATAATAAGGACATTAATACAATTGAAATTGAAGGAGTATTATTTGTACTAAAGAAAAATTGTCCCTAATATGTAGTAATTTACTACTATTTAATTACTCAAAACCTATACCTTGTTCATCTCATATCAAAATTGTAACCTTTATTTTATTTTATTTCTGTTATTACTATAGTTAAATTGATGATTCCAGAAACGTCACGAGTCACATATTTTATGAAATTGAAATGTTAGTAAAAACCCTATATTAGTCAAGTATATATGTGTTTCTATGCATTGTATTACAATATGAAGTATTATAATATGAAGTATTACAACACATGAACAGTAAACTTTTTTACTAATATCTCAATTTCATAAAATATGTAACTCGTGACGTTTCTGTAATTCATCGTTTCAGTTAGTTTTTATGACTGTTATTATTTTTATTGTTTAATTGTTGTGCTATCCCTTTTTCTAGCAGACAATTTGAACGAGAAAAATATTTGCTCGAAGATTTAAATGTAAATAATGGTAGTATAAATAATCGATATAAATTTCAAGTCTTATATGTAAATATTTTCTAAACGACATAAAAAATGTATTTGATTAAAAACAAAGTTTACGCAAGTTAAACTTACTTTTAATGGTTTTCAGTTAGTTTATACAATATGAGTTATTGAAAAAGTCCATGACCCGTTAAATTATCATCTTATACATTTGATTAAAATTTAAAGTAAACAGGTAGGATTACATATTATATTATACAACTTTTGGTATTCGTAACGCGCCCATTGTACTTCAAAAACAAAAACATATAGGCACTTACACAAAACAATGAAACAAACAAACAAACAAAACATACAAGTTCCGTTTAGAATCGTTTTCGATTGTGATGATTTATCGTTGTTATAATAAATTAATGTCTAAAAATTAACAATAATACACACTGACTTGCATGAAAGCAAACGAAGCGTGACGAGTATGCATTATGGCCCTAGTATATTCCGTATCCCGTCTGGATTTATTTTTATTTTTAATTTATTAAGATGAATTTTGTCGTATAAAGATTATGTTAACTGGTCATTTCAACTACAGCGACTATTTTAAATTAATTATTAAGCGTGAAAAAAAAACACCATAAAACGATTATTATGTCAACGGGTCATAAATAATTTCAGTAATATAACTAGAAATTCCAATAGAATTTTTTTCCGCTAACATGTGCACTTTCAATTTTCAAATTTAATTACGGCGCTTTTAAGACTATCGTTAATTCAGGTTATCTTTGTCGCATAACAGGTTGTATACATCTAAAAATTATATATTTATATCTAACTATCCCAGTTAATATAGTTGATATAATCACTTATCAGTGCTGAATATTATATACGTTTTATATATATATATATATGTAATGTGAATCGTAGTTGTAATGTGCACAGTATAACAAATTTGGACTTAGTCGTATACTTGGTGTATTAAACGAATTAAATAAAATAAATATAAAGTAAGAATGAAATCATTAAATAACTCTATGAATAAAAAAACAATCTAATTTATTTTAAAACCAACACATGATATAAACTATTGTACCTATATATAACTATATAAAATTATTATACATATATTATACTATTATAATATTAATTGTTTTATATATGTGTGTTGATTTTAAAATAAATTAGATTATTTTTTATTCATTAAGTCATTCATGATTTAATTCTTAATTTATAGTTGTTTATTTTATTTAATTCGAACCAAGTCCAAGTTTTTACACCGTGCACATTACAACTATGATACACGTTATTCAAGGTTTAAATAATTTTTGTAGTCCATCATATTCTAGAAAATTTAGATATTTATTCTTAATACTATTTGAAAAAAAAATATTAGTACATCAGTGATGATACAATTAAAACCATGATGAAGAAATTAATTTATTATCATACAAATGATCCTATATTTTAATTTAAAATTGACTATTATTACTATTATTTAACAAAAATGGTCGCTGAACGGTGAATTTCCCTTACTGAAGTTCAAATCGTTCTAATTGTGAATTCAAACTGTATTGAATTCAGTTTTGGTTTATCAATAGTTATTACTCCCCTTAACCACAGTTGTATTTGTAATTAATATAATTTCCATAGTCAAAATAGGTTTCACTCATAAGAATATCAATTTGACAAATCATTCAAAATCATTTTGAATAGGACTAGAATAATGGTGCACCTAATGTTTTATTCTAGCCCATTATTGTGGTATACGATACTAGTTATAGATATATAATGCATATAATAATTTATATATTTGTTCATACATGGATAATATGCAACAAAGCAGACATCATATTGGTTTAGATATGACACATTTTATTTTATTTTTTTAATAAAAATGTATGTTATTATTAGATAAACTTTTTCTAATCGTGTCATTGCCATAAAATAGTACAAAAAAAAAATAACAAAAGATTAGTTCTGGTTTATTTCTCTCCGTTTCGAATATGATTTACATGTATTATTATTTTTCACTTATAATAATGTATAACTAACCATACATCATCCAAATAAAATATTTAATTAATTATTCACATAAAAGTATGATATTTTCCTTTTACTACTCGGTTAGATAATTTAAGTTTTCGGTAAAACGAAACGGATGAGATGTATAATAGAAATATATGAACAAGAGTAATATTACTTGTGTAAAGACTTTTTTTCAGAAAATTGCACGCTAGTTTTTTTTAATACACCAGATAATGATAATAATTTAGTTTGTTGCCTTTACGAATTGAGAATAATGTACTTATTCTTGTCTGGTATCGTATGGGCGTGTATCAACGGAAATGATTTGCTTAAAATATGTACCGAGTGATCGATTTTATATGCTCTCGGTTATTTCCTATATTTATCCAAGCTAAACCAAAAAACGTTTAAAAGATTGTTCATCGTATTTATATATATTTTTTTATTTTTAGTCTCAAGTATTTATTTCATATTCATTCTTATGCTGATTTAAAAATACACTAGAACTGAATAATTCAAGTTTTTTAAACAATAGTTACTTAATAATTTTTTTTTTTACAAAATAAATACAATATTTGTTGTTTCGATACAATATGAAACATTCGTGCCACAATTATCTTATGATATAAGATATTCGATGTTTGTATACTACTCGTACTCTTTGAATTGGA